CCTGTGGGTCCCCATATGTCGTTGGACTACAACTCCCATCATCCCTGAGCTCTGGCCTTGCTAGCTAGGGGTGATGGGAGCTGTAGTTCAACAACATCTGGGGACCCACAGGTTGAGAAAGGCTGCTGTAGAAGAAGTGGACCGAAAGGACATTGGGATCTACTAGTTGATCTCTGGTTGAGTTGCAGTGGATCCACATGTATTTCTGACTAGCAAAAATGAAAAGGTTTTTCCCCACCCTAAATTGAGGTATTGAGGTATTATTACTATTATTACTATTATTTGCAGCACTTACATTTGTATACCTTCCTTTATCCGAAGATCACAGGACAATTCAAAATATAAAAACACAAAATGAGAGCACATTTGTAGTAGCAGCCAGGTCACCAAGGTAGCATATGAATTGGACCGTGGGCTCGCTAAATTATATAATGACAACTTCAGGAGGCCTAGACTCTGAGGAGAATATTTACTCTTTGCCTTGTACTGTTGTCCCTGACTAAGGGAGGGCAGAGCAAACCTGAAAGAACTAGAGGCTGTGTTTTGACTGCCTGTCGGATTTACATCATGATCTGAGGGCTTCAGATATCAAAGTGATGTGTTTGGTGCAACTCACTAGGACAGTGTGAGATTTGTAACGTGGCCCATAACAAAAGACAGCAAATTCTTTAACTACATAATCCATACCCTGGAAAATCAGTCCAGTGGCAACAATTAACACAATACAGTAAGCAGAGGGTTTCATGTGGTTCTTGTGGTTGGGGTGATTGATGAAGCAGGTGTGTTTTCAAAAGTCCTCTGAGGGGAAAGGGTAGGGTTTTAGAGGATTGACAAGGACATCCTTAGAAGCTGTTGTACACCCTTAGATGTCAATGTTAGGAAGCCGTTCGAGTGCAGTGATGAAAAAGAGTGTGCACCCAACACAGGAAACCGAAATGCAACATGAGCAGGAAAAGAACTCTAGTAATCAAGGCCAGTGGTCAAGAAGGTAGTTTCTTCACATGCCAAAAACTCAGGATGAGCCCTAAGCCAAGCTTGTACTCAGGTAAGGAGGGGTGAATCTGTCAGTGTTGATTTCTCTTGACGTCTCTTTTCCCACTCATCAGTTCTCCACATCATTTTGTGATAGATTTTTAAATCCTCGTGACAAAATTTGGATACGTGCTGGTTTTGAAGGGTGGCTTTTTTCATTTGTGTATTGTTTCAGGAAGTCCACTTACCTTAAATGGTGGCTTTTGCAGCCAGTCCACAGGTTCTGCAGTGATCCAGTGAAGGGGTTAGGGTTTGGCTGACTGACGGCTGGTGATTAGCTAGACCAGCAGGCTTTGGGGCAGGCCTCTTCCTGGGGCCTGGTTTGGATAGCTTCACCCTTAAATATGAACAGAATCAAGTTTCTCTCTCAACTGCATTAGGTAAAAGGTAAAAGACCCCTGGACGGTTAAGTCCAGTCAAAGGTGACTATGGGGTTATGGTGGCCATCTCGCTTTCAGGCCAAGGGAGCCAGCGTTTGTCCACAGACAGCATTCTGGGTCATGTGGTCAGCATGACTAAACTGCTTCTGGCACAATGGAACATCGTGATGGAAACCAGAGTGCACAGAAATGCCGTTTACCTTCCCGCCGCAGCAGTACCTATTTATCTATTTGCACTGGTGTGCTTTCAAACTGCTAGGTTAGCAGGAGCTGGGACAGAGCAATGGGAGCTTATCCTGTCGTGGGGAGTTGAACCGCCAACCTTCTGATCGACAAGCCCAAGAGGCTCAGTGGTTTAGACCACAGCGCCACCCGCATCTCATCTGCATACTCAGCCCATGGCAATGTGCAAAGGTACAGATGAGAGATGTTGGGTGGGTGAAAGAACCATCAGTCCCATGTCCTTGCCATTCCCTTCATCATGGCGGCTGCAGACAGAGCTACAGGTGGGATCTAAACAGCTTCTGTTGCTGTGGTTGGAGTAAGCTTGGAGATTCCCCATCACTGCCCTCTTCCTTGCCCAGGCTTAAACTAGCATTAGCCCTGAGTGTCTATATTCCATGTCTCGTCTATCACTTCTGTTACACATATTAACTGCATCTGGTTTTCTAACTTTTTTTTTTTTTACATAAAGTATATCCTCAAAAAAGGCAACCCTTAAATGGCCTTGAACCATGGTAGTCACATGTTCCTTTCCCCTCTCCCTGCTTTTTGCAGCAACAGCTCACCACAAGTAGGAAATGAGAAATGTTGGGATACGGCAGACCGTATTGACTTAACACAAAGTTATTTAGCTCAGGTGTTCCAGGAGTAGCGGCACCCTTGGGAAATCCAGTGGTCAAGGCTCTCCAGTTCTTACTCCCCTCCCTCCTTTTCCATGTGTTCAGCTAATCTCTTAACTTTACAGGTTCAGGGACAAGAGTCACCACCATACATAAGTCTCTTGCCAAAGAGTGAAATGGAACACATAGATGAAGCCTATTCGCTTGCTTGCTTGCTTGCTTGCTTGCTTGCTTGCTTGCTTTATAACAATGTAAGTTAAAACAGTGACAATTTTGAAAACAGTTGGGTTGCAACAATAAGTAGCCACAAGCACTTAAAAGAGTGTGGCAGTGGGGAAATGCAAACTAGTGTCGCAAATAATTTAACCATAGCAATTAAAACCTCTAACTGCCCAAAAGCATTTATAAATCAGAAGTTTTGACCATATTATGGAATGCCATTAGAGAGGGGGGTGAGTTAAACCTCCCTACAGCTTGAGGACCGAAGCCTGTAGACAGTTACCTTTTAATAATGGAATTCACAGTAAGTTGGTTCGGGATACAATAATACTCATGGGAGAACACAGCACAATACAGTGATACCTTGGTTCTTGAACTTAATCCGTTCTGGGAGTCCATTCAACTCCCGAAACCGTTTGAAAACCAAGGTGTGGCTTCTGATTGGCTGCAGGAGCTTCCTGCACTCAAGCAGAAGCCGCGCCGGATGTTCAGCTTCCAAAAAATGTTCGCAAACCGGAACAGTCACTTCTGGGTTTGTGGTGTTCAGGAGCCTATTTGTTCAACAAGTAAGCCGTTCGAGAACCAAGGTACCACTGTATGTTCTCTATGTGCTTGTGTGTGTGTGTGTGTTTTTGAGTCATAGTCCTATAGTGTCCCTACAGCAGCCTGGGGCCCTCCAGAAATGTTCTACCAGCCCATCCAATCTGGCCAATGGTCAACTAAGGCATGCTAGTCTCACCCCAATCCTAGGTCTATGTATATGGGCATTCCTGCTTTAAGTAGCCTACCCATCCACCTGTCACCAGAGTTTCAACATATATTAGACTACTGAGTATGCACAAGCCAGAATCTTGCAAAACTCGAGCTGCTATCCTGGACTTTCTTGACCTCCCCATTAAGCAAAGCTGTGATACTAATTTCTTGGCACAATCACGAGTTTTCCCTGGATGTCTCAGAGGATTCCCATCTACTGAAAGAAAGCACTCCATAATAGATGCGGAACATGCAATTTCTGGAAATATTTATCATTACTTTGTGTCAACAAAATGCCTTTTCTTTTTCTTTTCTTTTTCTTTTGAGCTCCGCATATTTTCACTCTGAGAAAACAGATTTGTTTTGCAGCTCTCCAAAGGCCCCAAGCTCCAGAGCGAAGAAGACGCACTATCTTTCCGTGGTCAGCCTTCCTTTCGGCATCTGGTCACAATCCTACTGGGAGAAATGTAAGTAACAGCTTACCACGTGGATCGCCGAATGTGCTGAATTGCAAGAAAGGATATTAAATGAAAATATCCATAGCACCTGCAGCTTGTCCCAGATTATTCCCCCAGAGTAGTGTGGGTGGGTTGACTTCAAACCCCCCAGCGACGTGCAAACTGCAACTGCAGCTGCTTGTTGTAGTAGCAGCTTGCAGTGTTAGCAAATGGCTTGCAGATCCCAGCCCTTGTAATGAATCAACACTGATGGAGGCTGCCAATAGGCTGGGGGGGGTGAGAGTGGGGAGTAGCAGGCCTAGTGTAATTATCCTCCTCCTTATCAATGTTAGACGTCTCCCCATCCTTTGGGTTTGGGATGATGAACTGCCTGCTCCACAAAATAGGGCAGTCAAAGAACTCAAATGCAAGCAGCTTTGCACATCCAAATCCTAAGACTTGTTGCCCTTTGGACCTCTCTCGCTGTCCCTTGAAAATGCCTTTCACATAGTTGAATAGAGGCTGTGTGTGTAGATGGATGTGTGAAGAATCCACTTGTTTTTGCATGTAGCCTACTGTAAGAGTCATCTCCATTGCGCTGTACAGTTTTGCCTCTGGTCCTCCCCACCACTGACACATCCTTGTTTCCATTTCCCAAGAAGATTATCCATAAATGAATGTAGCCCTCTGGCTTAAGAATTGTCTCCCCTTGACCCTTGCCCTGCTAGCCTGCAAAGGGCTTTTGAACCAGCAACAGATACACCTATCTAGGTCCAACTGCAAAACAGGAGGTTTTTCTGCCAGTGTAGGAGTAGGTCAGCAATTTAAAAAACACCCATGTCAGTGCAGTTAACTCTTTAGTCAAAGAAACCAAAACAGCACAGGCCTACTGATCACAGCAACTCTTCCCAGAAGGCCTCGCCCCAATGAAGCAGTTGCAAGGACTGAAGGTCCCTGCCTTCCCATGCTCTCTAAGGATCCTTCCATTGCAGCCCAAGACTCTCTTGTCTCTCGTTGCTCCACCCTCTTCATTCCTTTGTGTTTTCTGGGAGGTGAGTTGGTTGCAGCAGGAGGGGGAGACTCCCTGGATTCTTCCACATCCTGCCTCATCTCCGTCTCCTGTTGACCAAGTCAGTAGAATTTTTTTATGCCTAATATCCCAACCATTGTAGTCTTCTTCTTACATCGCAATAGCTGACAAAGAAAGGCAGGGAGCCATTTTTTCAAGCCCTCAGATTTGCTCAGAAAAATATTCTGTGTTTTCCCCAGAAGATTCCAGATCATCTCCCAACTGACCTGAGTAGATTTCAGAAGTTGATCTCTAGTGAAGTGTAAGAATGAGTGTGGCCAACAATCTTTGTGAAATGGCACATTGTGGAAGGTCTTTGAGGATCAGAAAACTTTTGACATCACAGCAGGGGACCTACAAGAGGGGTCAGTAATTTTTAGTAATAATAATAATAATAATAATAATAATAATAATATTTAAAAAGACAAATTTTGGGCAGCTTGGGGCCATGAAAACATACTTTTGGCATTGCAGTGGAATACTTATAGAAGCAGTCAGTAAAACAAAACATTAAATAGTAAATTTAATTTTAAAATATTTTTATTTGATAGAAATTTTTGGATGGTTTTAGTGGAGGTGCAAAAACCTTTGGCATCATAGTATCACAGCTGGAGAACCATAGGAAGAATGTTGTTTTTAAAAAACAAAACAAAACAAAAACCCATGGTTTTTAAGACAATTTTTGGAGGGTCTTGAGGACTACCAAAACCTCCCTTGGGAGCCAGCTGTGGCCTAGAAGGCTTTGAGCTAGACTGGGAGCAAAGTGTCTGATCCAGCCCATTGCATTCACTCAAGCCACACCACTAACATGCCATTTTGGTTGTGAAGCTTACCCCAGCAGTGGCTTTTAAATCCAAATACATTAGACTAACACATTGTGAGCTCCAGGCCACTCGCTACTGGTTTTCTTGTGCAAGTGAACATCATGTGTTTGTAAGAAGTGAGTGAGGTGCATGGTGAAGCATTACTGACAGTACAGATGTGCAGATTCGTGTTGATGTGGCCAAAGGGCTGAGACTGCTTTTTACTAGTCAAAAATCAGGCAATTGTGTGCATTCTGCTGACTGCACACACACACACAGTATCTTGAGAGCCCTGCACATATGTGATACTTGGCTGCATTTCAAATGGTATGTTAAAAAGGATCAAACCTGAGTTTCAGCCTCTGCAGAGGCCATGTTAAGACTGGTTACAAGCATTTTATTTGTTTGTTTGTTGGTCTTTTGGTTCTTTTGGCTTCTGCCATTCCAGAACAGTTAGAGCAGGTGATGTACACTCCGCTATCTAGTCAGCCCCTAGAAGGCTTAAATGTTTGGACATATTGAATGCAGACGGGAAATCAAAGACAGATCAATGCCTGGCAACACTACAAGGGAAATATAACTGGCTTCCCTTTGGGTTTTGTGATGTCAAGACAATAACAAATGTGAATGTCAAGTGGTGTTTAATATATTTATATTTGCAGTAAGATAATATAAATAATATTTTTAGCTATGAAACGATGCCAACATCTTTTCTGGAATGTGTGTGGGATCTTACTGGGGCAGGGGAGGGGAGACCCCGCATACAAATATATGCCAATCTGCTAAAATCCCCGGAGGGAAAACTAAGTAGCACCATAGACAGAAGAGAACAAAAGCAACCTTAAATGTGTATTTCCTTAAAAAGTTAGCTCTCCCCCACCCCTTTGTATGAGAATATGTGTGGACAAATTGGGTTGGCAGATGTCTTGCAGTCTCATTAAGTTGCCAGATCCTTGCCCAGGAATTGCTATAAATCAAGGGAAGGCCAATGTGGTGTTGTGAAGTACAAGTCATATCATCCAAGACCATTGGCCATGCTTGCTGAGGCTGATGGGTTTGTTGTCCACAACATCAGGACACCATGTTGCTTATCGCTGCCATTGATTCTCTAAGCCGGGGTAGTCAACATTTTTATACCTACCGCCCACTAATGCATCTTTCTTGATGGTAAAATTTCCTTACCGCCCACCAGTGCTCAATGGAAGGAGGATTCAGCTTGTGCCATAGAACCTCCCACTGCCCACCTAGAATCCTCAGTTACCCACTAGTGGGTGGTAATAATAATAATAATAATAAATTTTATTTATATCCCGCCCTCCCCAGCCGAAGCCGGGCTCAGGGCGGCTAACAACGATAAAACAGTACAAAAGTACAGCATAAACAACAGTCTAAAATCATTCATTATAAAATTAATTAATTCAGGCCACTGGCAACCATTGGGCCAGAGCTCCGCGAAGATTGCCGAGGGAGGGAGTCAGGCTGTGCCCTGGCCAAAGGCCTGGTGGAACAGCTCTGTCTTGCAGGCCCTGCGGAAAGATGTCCAGTCCCGCAGGGCCCTGGTCTCTTGTGACAGAGTGTTCCACCAGATCGGAGCCACGGCCAAAAAAAGCCCTGGCTCTAGTTGAGGCCAGCCTAACTTCTCTGTGGCCTGGGACCTTCAAGATGTTTTTATTTGAAGACCGTAAGTTTCTCTGTGGGGCATACCAGAGAGGCGGTCCCGTAGGTACGAGGGTCCTAGGCCGTATAGGGCTTTAAAGGTTAAAACCAGCACCTTAAACCTGATCCTGTACTCCACCGGGAGCCAGTGCAGCTGGTATAGCACCGGGTGAATGTGATCTCGCAGCGAAGACCTCGTAAGGAGTCTCGCTGCAGCATTCTGCACCCGCTGGAGTTTCTGGGTCAGTCTCAAGGGCAGCCCCACGTAGAGCGAGTTACAATAATCCAGTCTGGAGGTGACCGTCGCATGGATCACAGTGGCTAGGTCAGGGCGAGAGAGGTAAGGAGCCAACTGCTTAGCTTGGCGGAGATGGAAAAATGCCGCCTTTGTTATAGCTGCAATCTGCGCCTCCATGGAAAGGGAGGTGTCGAAGATTACACCCAAACTCTTAACGGACGGTTGCTGGCACTAATTGCGCCCCGCAAGAGATGGGAGTTGCCCCCCCAATCCCAAATCGCCCCGTCCCAGCCACAGGACCTCTGTCTTCGAAGGATTTAGCTTCAACCGGCTCCCACGTAACCATCCAGCCACAGCTTCCAAACATCTGGTCAGTGTGTCTGGGGCCGAGTCAGGATGGCCATCCATCAACAGATAGAGTTGGGTGTCATCAGCATACTGATGGCAACCCAGCCCAAAACTCCGAACAAGCTGGGCGAGGGGGCGCATAAAGATGTTGAAAAGCATCGGGGAGTATCGCACCGTGAGGTACTCCTCACACCAATGTGTGGCGCGATGACAATTCCAACAACAAGCGCCTCCCTCTGTCCCCGAACAGAGAGATAATAGCTCAGCCATTGAAGGACTGTGCCCTGGATCCCAACGTCGGCAAGGCGGTGGTCCAGAAGTTCGTGATCGACCATGTCGAAAGCTGCTGACAGATCTAGAAGAATCAGCAGCCCCGACCCGGCTCGATCCAGCTGTCTACGAAGATCATCTGTTAGGGCAACCAGAGCCGTCTCGGTCCCATGACCAGCGCGGAAGCCGGACTGGAATGGATCCAGAGCCGCTGCTGGGCCGCTGTAGGGACAAAGTTGACAACCCCTGCTCTAAACAGACTTTAAACTACTCCAATATACTGTTGTAGACATTTATTTTGTATTATCCAAAAGTACTCTTGGAACCATACAGGTGAGGGACTTAGTGGCCAATAAGTGGTAATGGCTTTGAACATTTCTTGCCGCCAGTTTAACTTAATAATTACCGTAATAGGTTAAAACTGTATTTCTGTTGGATCATAATGTGTATGTGTATTTTAAAATACTGAATAGTGCATAAGATTATTAGTCATTAGAAGGGGGAAGAGTGTTTGTTTGAAGTCAATACAGTGGTACCTTGGGTTACATACGCTTCAGGTTACATACGCTTCAGGATACAGACTCTGCTAACCCAGAAATAGTACCTCGGGTTAAGAACTTTGCTTCAGGATGAGAACAGAAATTGTCCAGCAGCGGCGCAGCAGCAGCGGGAGGCCCCATTAGCTAAAGTGGTGCTTCAGGTTAAGAACAGTTTCAGGTTAAGAACAGACCTCCGGAAGTCCTTAACCCGAGGCACCACTGTATTTCTAAAAAAATGTTTAGAGGTACTCTCATTTTCCTACTCATATTGAAATACTGCCCATCAATGAGGGCAAACATAGGTTCACAAAATGTTTAGGGGTATGCGTACCCCTGTGTACCCCGTCCCCCCAGGAAAAAAGCACTGTGCGTACTCGGGGGAGTGCTGGATATAGCTATAAGGGCTAATTCACAAATTTTTGCTCATCAATTCGTGATCACAACAGCAAATTGTGACTTGCAGGTATGAACACACAATCAAAGATAGGACTGTCATATATCACTCTGCATCCTCTTAAACACAATGCTTTTCAGCGCCCACAGAAATGTCAGCAAGTCATCTAGTGCAGATCTACAGAGGGTGGTGAATACGGCACATGATATCATGGGCTGTCCCTTGAATCCGCTAGATGACATTGCAAGGGATAAGGGATCGTTGCCTTAGGAGAGCGAGAAAAATTCTCAGGGATGACTCACACCCCAGCCATCACCTTTTTAATCTTCTACCCTCGGGCAAGAGATATAGAAGTATAATCAGCCGTACCAATAGGCTAAAAAATAGCTTGTATCTGTGGGCTGTTAGGCTGTTGAACAGAAAATAACATAGCGCAACTGACTTGCGAGGTGGTGTGTTGTGCGATAAGCACACAGTGTGCAATGAGATTGAGTGTTGTGGGGGGAGGGAGGCTCATTTAATTTCATTGTACACAGGTTGTAAAGGTAAAGGGACCCCTGACCGTTAGGTCTAGTCGCGGACGACTCTGGGGTTGCGGCGCTCATCTCGCTTTATTGGCCAAGGGAGCCGGCGTACAGCTTCAGGGTCATGTGGCCAGCATGAGTAAGCCGCTTCTGGTGAACCAGAGCAGTGCACAGAAACGCCGTTTAACTTCCCACCAGAATGGTACCTATTTACCTATTTGCAGTTTGACGTGCTTTCAAACTGCTAAGTTGGCAGGAGCAGGGACCGAGCAACGGGAGCTCACCCCGTCGCGGGGATTTGAACTGCCGCCCTTCTGATCGGCAAGCCCTAGGCTCTGTGGTTTAGACCACAGTGCCACCCGCGTCCCTCTACACAGGTTGTACATTGACAATAAAGGTATTATTAACTTCATGATCTAGAGCATGATCTCTACCAAATGCTATCTGACCAAAGGAAAAGTCAGTGGCAATCCTGCAAGCTTCCTCCCCCCTGTGATTGCCACTTCCATAATACTGTGTTTAGTTGGGCTATTCTTGGTTTTAGCAATATTTTCTTTATTAAACCAGAGAACACACTGCCGCAGTTTCTATGCATGGTTAAGCACGGTGGCTCCTGATCAAGCCGTAATTGACAGGACATGGAAGAACTTGTCTTCAGTTTGACGGGATCATAGCAAATTGCTAATGAAGTGCTTCAATCTGCTTCCTCCTTACAGCGCAATCCTTGAAAAGCAGTTTGAGTTCTGTCAGGAGGTGTTTCTTTTATGAGGGCAGTTAAAGGGACACCTGCTTAGACTGATATACCTAATGCTGTGTCAACATTTCCATTGATTTGGTTTATAACCCAGCTGTGAAAACTCATTTTAGCCCAAGACTTGGTATAGAATATCTAAAATCCAAGAGGGAGGGGAAAGTCCATCATTACCCCACACTGAAAGGTATATACTAGAGGGGCAAAATATAATTAGACGAGTTAAGGTAAAGCTGGCAGTTTTCTCTCAAACAGAGAGAGTGATGTTTGTCCATTAAATCATTCTGCAGTAAATTAAATCTATCAGCAGTGCAGTTCTATGCAAGCAAGTGGGAGAAGAAGCAAGGTAACCAGAATCGCACACAGTATTTCAAGGATGGTTGCGCCATAGATTTGTATAACAGCATCACGATATTGGCAGTTTTTGTTTTCAATCTCAAGCATGGAATTTGCCACTTTCACAGCTGCTACACAGCCTGGACAGGGAAGATGGGATTTGTAGTCCACAATATTTGGAGGCTGCCATTTTGGCAACCCATTGAGGCATCAGTTAGAGCTGAAACTCTCAGAGTACTTTCCTTTCACCTACTGATCTATCCATGGTCTGGCAAGCATTTTTCTGACCCTCTTGCTTGTCCCAAACCCCAGACACAGATCAACTTTCCATCTCTGTCTGTGTGCATCAAACAGAGGGAACTCTAATTGATCCCAGTTCTAGGTATCTTCCCCAGACTGTCAACTGGACCCATTGTCTTCCTAACTACCCACAAGCTTCGCCGCCTCAAAACACGATGAATTTTCCAGCTCAGAGCAAAATTCAATCTTTGCCATTAAAGTACGTAAGAAAGTAAGAAGAGTCTGCTAGATCAGGCCAATAGACTATCTAGTCCAGCATCCTGTTCTCACAGTTGCCAACCAGAAGGCTGTGGGAAACCCTCAGGCAGGACTCAAACACAAAATTAAATGACAACTTGTAGCAGCCCTCTTAGGTCTGAGTCAGAGGCCTTTCCTAGAACAAAATCTGGAGTGTTTCTTTTCAAAACAATGCACTTGCTCTACCATGGAAGTATGAGCCCTTCAAATAACAGAAGCTTCTAGCGATACAGTATGCTCTGGAGAAAAATGGAATTGGGCCTTAGTTTAAGAAAACTCAAGCAATGTGCTGATGATGACACAGTTACCCTACTTGTGAAATTTCTCCCTCTTGGTGTTGAACTCACACCATACCTTGCAAACTGGGCTATCCCCTGTTAATCCTATTACACCGTGATCTAATGTAGGGTTGCCGTATTTCAAGAAGTAAACATCAACATCAGAGTGGTTGAACTTTTGGGGGGAAATCGACATCATAATTGTTGTGCTATTTGGGGGAATTTACCAAAATAGGCAAGGAGTCAAACACATACTTCCTTCTTCTGTTGGCAAAAACCCGGACATTTTGACAATTTTTCAAAATTCCCACTGGACGCTAATTCCGCCGCTGAAATCCCGGACATGTCCAGGAAAATTCCAGAGGTATGGCAACTCTGTGTAATGGGAACTTTATGCTGTGAAATGGTTCAGGGGGGAGGGGTGGAGACCACACTAGCCTCCTCAGTTTATGTTTTAGTCATCAAGGTGATCTCACCTGTGAGACTCTAATCTGGTTTTTAACCTGCTGCTAAATATGTCAGTTTGCATTGGAACAAGTATCAGTGCTTCAGTGAGCAGTGAGTGATTTGAATTGCGGAAGGTATCCACTTTCCCTGACTCCAATGCTGGGATCAAATGTGCAAAGAAAGGCGAAGGTACACCATCTGGCTTCTAAAGAGATGAAGGTGTGCAAAAGAGTTTGATCTGCTGCTATTTGTTTAATGATTGCAATTATTTGTACCCTGTTAATTTAAAGCAGAGTCTCTGGTGCCCAGCGGAAGGATGAGCAATACGTGCTACATACTCTATATTGCTTTATTTACAGTTCAAAGCTGGTATATTACAGAAAGACATCTTGCCTCTGCAGGAGCAGAAAATGCATCCTCTCTCCTCAACAGCTCGGAGAGAATCACACAGTGAAAAACAGGAAACCAGTGTACGTCACATCCAGTCTCCCTTTCCCGTGAGAAACTCCAACAGTACAGACTGTGGAATGTAAACACCTGTCTTGTGACTGCAGTTGCTGCTCAGTGAAGGAAATCAGAAACCAACATCCTCCCCCTTTCTGTGAACATCACTGGGCAGCGTGTTCGTACAATATCAGTACAAACCCAACTTCTGCACATAGGTACAGTGTTGATCCCTTGATACAATCTTGGACAATACATCAGCAGGAATTTCATTACCTGGCATATAGGACACCGTTACGAGTCCCTTCTGAATACATTCCCTAGCATGCTGCAACTTTAATTGCAAGTGCTTTGTGCTTTGCTTACAACCTTCAGACTTCAGCAAAGCCAAACATGCTTTGTTGTCCTGGTAAACCTGGATTGGACATTTGACAGGAATTTTCATATCTTTGCACAATTGTACTAACCATTCACAATCCTTAAGTGAATAAGACAGTGCATTCAGTTCAGCTTCACAAGTACTTAAGCTAACTGTTGTTTGCTTCTTGCATGACCAATCAAACAGACTCTGATTGTACATGTAGCAAACTCCAGACGTACTTTTCCTGTCTGTAGCGTCACTTCCAAAACTTGCATCTGCAAATATCTCAAGACCACCAGACTTCTGATTGTTAAATCTCAGTCTGTAATGCATAGTGCCTTTCAAATACCGCGCTATGCGTTTCAGAGCTTTCCAATCCTTGACACTAGGATTGTTGACTTGTCTGCTTAGCAAATTACAGCTAACAGCAATGTCTGGTCTTGAACATCTGGCAATGAAGTTTAGCTTGCCTAGCACACTCCTGTACAGTGTAGTGTCAGAAAATGCTTCTTCAGTGTCATCTACCTGATAACCTGTTGTCATCGGTGTGTCTACAGGGTTAGCATCCATCAGATTTAGTTTGCTTAACACATCAGCAATTTTCCGTGACTGGTGTACTAGAATGTTACCATCTTGATCTCTCTCTATTTCCAGAGATAGGTAGTTGTTTACCTCACCAAGATCTTTCATGTCAAAGTGCTCTTTCAGTTGCGCTAGGCGCTATTGTACATTGCAACATCTTTCCAAAAGAATAATAAATCATCAACATAAAACAAACAGTACAGTTTCTTTTGCCCCTCCTCTTGACAAATACACATGGATCAGCTTTCCTTGCTGAAAACCTAGAGAAAACAATACTTCAGTGAGTTTTGTGTGCCAACACCGTGCACTTTGTTTGAGACCATAAAGGGATTTCTTCAGAGCACAAACAAATCCCTGTTTTACCTGTACGCCATCAGGTGGAAGCATATAAAGTGATTCATCTAGAGATCCGTACAGAAAAGCTGTATTAATATCATGGTGACTAATGTGTAGATTTTCCTCTGCAGCTAGCTTGAGCATAAGCCTAATGCTTTCATATCTCACTGTGGGTGAATAGGTCTCGTGATAGTCTTCACCTGGTACCTGTGCAAAACCTCTGGCTACCAATCTGGCTTTGTGTCTGACTATCTTGCCATTTTGATCTGTCTTCGCTTTGAAGACCCATTTGCTTCCAAGCAGTTTCATTCCTGGAACTACTGGAACTAGCTCCCATGTTTTGTTCCTTTCTAAGGAATCAAGCTCAGCCTTCATGGCATTTAACCATGGCTCAGCTTCCTTTGAATCCAAACCCTGGATTTCTTGGAAACTTGAAGGTTCAAATACCTTCTTGGAGCTTTTAACAGCTGTTACTGCTATCGTAGCAAACTCATCAGCAAATCTCTTTGGAGGTTTGCCTTTGTGGCTCTCTGTGACCTACGAATTAGCCTTAAGTCTTCAACACTCTCCTCTTCCTTCTTAGGAGAAAAACGACCTATTGTGAACAATGGTTCCTCCAATTCTTGATCAGAGCTTTCAGAGGGTCGCATAGAGGCTTTCGCACTCTTGAAATCCTCTGAATCACCCGATTCAGTTTCAGATTCAGACTCAGAACCTTCATCAGTGGGTGTGGGCTGTTGTGGTTGCTTTTGACTATCCTCAGTCTCATCACCGTCATCAGGATAACATTGGAAAATTCCCACATTCTCCCCCACTTTGCATTGTACTCAACACTTCTCGTGAGCTTAATTGTCTTAGAGTCAGTCATCATTATTCTGTAAGACCCTTTCTGATAACCTAGAAAGATACCATGCAATCCACGCTTGTCTAACTTGGAGTTTTGTGGTGAGCGAACCCACATGTCAGAACCAAAATCTTCATGTGTTTGATGTATGGCTTCTGCCAAACATCTTCTCATATGGGGTACAACCAATCGCTGAAGATAACCTGCGATTGTAACTGTAAACAAAACACGAGAGAGATTCTGCCCAATAACTCTCTGGAAGATTGGCATCATGCAGCAAGGTTTTTAAGCCTTGAAGCAATGTCTGATTTGCCTGCTCCGCAAGTCCATTCTGCCATGGCGAGCGAGGACTAGACAAATCGTGTTGAATTCCTTTCTCAGTCAGAAAAGCTTCAAACTGCTGAGAAGTGAATTCCCCGCGATCACTGAAAAGAGTCTTTATCTTCTTACCATGCACATTTTCCAACCAAGCACAGAATTCCTTGAACCTAGGAAAAGCCTCCGATTTCTGCTTGAGATTGTACACAAAAATATATCTAGAAAATGCATCAATGAGAACCATGAAGTATCTATTTCCACCCAAAGAGGGCGCTAGTGGTCCAACCAAATCAGCATGAACAACCTGGTATGGTTCTGTAGCTTTCCTACTAGACACCTTACCTTTCGCAGCCATTTTCACCTTGCTTGCTGCGCATGCTTTGCACTTCATGTGGTACCTGCAGGGTTTAATAGTCATACCTTCAACCAAGGCAGGCATTTTAGATACTGCCTCAAAATGCAAATGACCAAATTTTCGATGAAAATCGTGAATACATTCTGCATGCAAACTTTTGTTAGAACCTGCAATGCAACAAGTGTCATCCTGCACCACATCATCATAATACAAAACAAACAAATGATCAACATATTCTGCATGCAATACATAATCATTTTTCTTTGTGATGATGCACTTCTTGTTCTTGAAGGAAACGTCAATGTTCCGCTCATTCAGCTGTCCAACGCTGAGCAGATTATGTTTGGCGCCTGGCACGTAAAGCACATTCTGTATCGATAAGTCCAAACTGTGAAGAACAACAGTTCCGTAGCCTTTACTGGGAATAGTGTGGTCATCCGCCTGGTGAATCGCACCTTCCTGCGGTGTAAAAGACACAAACAGTTTCTTATCGTTGCACATGTGGTGGGTGGCCGCTGAATCAACAACGAAGAAAGATCTAGACGTCTTCTGGACCTCTGCAACCTTTGGAGTGAAGCGTGAAACCATAGCCTTGTGCTGCGTTGTCCTAGACACCGGACCTTTGCCTTTGCCTCGGCCTTTTCCGCGCGATGAGCTTCGCTGCGCTGCTCTGTCTTGGCCCTGGGATGTCTGCATTCCTCTTCATATGGCCTAGACGTCCACACGAGTAGCATTTCACTGCCTTCAAAGCTTTGGCGCCATCTGGTGGTTCCACTGCACTATGGGATGACGTCTGTGAAGACTCCCTTGCCCATGCAGCTAGCACCCCGGCGATCTGCTTCATTTAAAATCACGGCAGTAACAAAGTCCACTGTCAGCTGAGCAGTTGGTTGCACAGCAATCTGGGTTGCAACAGACTCCCAACCTGAACCCAAAGATTGTAGTATCATGAAAGAATACACAGCCTCTGGAAAGTTGAGTCCTCTCTGTTGCAGCTCATGTCTCAGATTTTGCATCTCCATCAGATGTAAACGCACATCTCCACCTTCAGCAAGAGCCATATTATGCAGCTTGTTAAAATAAAACATAGTGGATCCAGCTTCTGTCCTTAAGTGAGCCTCTCTCAGAGCGTCCCAAATTTCTCTGGCTGAGGTCTTATCACGCAATAGACAGAGCTCTTCTGGGGATACTATCAATGTAAGAGTTCCCTTGCTTTGGAATCCTTAGCTTCCCATGCATCTGTAACTGGAACTGGGGGTTCCTGTAATCACCTCAAACAAACCCTCTTTCCGCAGAATTGCCTCTGCATACTGAACCCAGTCGCTGTAATTTTTCTTGTTGAGCTTAGGAATCCCACAAGCATCCTGAAGGGCCATCATGACTCTGGCATTAGCCTTCAGCGTCATATGCTGCTTTAAATCTTGCTGCGTCACTGCTGCAGCTGCCTTATCACAAAGGCACACTTAAAAGTTACTTTCGATTTCCCAGCATAGTGACTTGTGCCTGGGAGACTTTTGCATATTCCCTGCAAAACCGGCTTTAAAAGTTCAAAGTCCAGCCATAAAGCCATTATCTTGAAGCTGGCAGGCTGCCCGGAGCAGTAGCACATACCTCATCAATCACTTCTACGCGCAGAGCAGATTCCTTTCCGATCCGTCCTCTGCATTCCGATCCTTTGCCGGCACTCCGATTCGACCTCTGGAGTCCATAACCACGTGTTGATTTAAAGCAGAGTCTCTGGTGCCCAGCGGAAGGATGAGGAATACGTGCTGCATACTCTATATTGCTTTATTTACAGTTCAAAGCTGGTATATTACAGAAAGACATCTTGCCTCTGCAGGAGCAGAAAATGCATCCTCTCTCCTCAACAGCTCGGAGAGAATCACACAGTGAAAAACAGGAAACCAGTGTACGTCACATCCAGTCTCCCTTTCCCGTGAGAAACTCCAACAGTACAGACTGTGGAATGTAAAACAATGTCTTGTGACTGCAGTTGCTGCTCAGTGAGGGAAATCAGAAACCCCACCTTTCAGTGTACAAATTCTTCCAAGGCAGCTTCCGCCGTACATAAAGATACAAGGGTAAAATCATGTGGGGCTGCCTTTGAAGATGACTGGGAAACTACAACTAAAAGGAATGTAGCAGCTAGACTGGTGACTGGGAGCAGCTGTCGGGACCATATAACACTGGTCCTGAAGGGCCTACATTGGCTCCCAGTATGTTTCTGAGCACAATTCAAAGTATTGTTGCTGACCTTTAAAGCCCTAAACAGCCTTGGCCCTGTATACAGTGGTACCTCGGGTTAAGAACTTAATTCGTTCTGGAGGTCCGTTCTTAACCAGAAACTGTTCTTAACTTGAGGTACCACTTTAGCTAATGGGGCCTCCCGCTGCCGCCGCACCGCTGCCGCGCAATTTCTGTTCTCATCCTGAAGCAAAGTTCTTAACCCAAGACACTATTTATGGTTTAGCAGAGTCTGTAACCTGAAGCATCTGTAACCCAACTTACCACTGTACTTGAAGGAGTGTCTCCACCCCCATCATTCAGCCCAGACACTGAGATCTAGCTTTGAGGGCCTTCTGGCAGTTCCCACACTGCGATAAGTAATGCTACAGGGAACTAGGCAGAGGGCCTTCTCGGTAGTGGCACCCACCCTGTGGAACACCCTGCCATCAGATGTCAAGGAAATAAGTAACTATACAGTCTTTATAAGACATCATTTAGAAGCCCTGTTGGCAGTTTGAATTCACACAATGGTGTGAGTTCCTGTTGCTCTGTGTCAGCTCCTGCCAACCTAGCAGTTTGAAAGCATATCAGTGCAAGTAGATAAATAGGTACCACTGTGGCAAGAAGGTAAACAGCGTTTCCGTGCGCTCTGGTTTCCATCACGGTGTTCTGTTGCGCCAGAAGCAGTTTAGTCATGCTGGCCACATGACCCAGAACGCTGTCTGTGGACAAACGCTGGCTCCCTCGGCCTGAAAGCAAGATGAGCGCCACAACCCCATAGTCATCTTAGACTGGACTTAACCATCCAGAGGTCCTTTACCTTAGAAGCCCTGTATAGGGACGTTTTTAATGTTTTATATTTTATTATGTCCTGTATATGCTGGAAGCTGCCCAGAGTGTCTGGGGCAACCCAGTCAGTTGGGTGGGGTACAAATAATAAAAGCGTTGTTGTTGTTGTTGTTGTTGTTGTTGTTGTTGTTGTGTTATATTGGGATAGTTCAGTCTATAGAACAGGATACACTTAATCTCAGGGTTGTGGGTTCAAACCCCACGTTAGGCAAGATTCCTGCATTTGCAGGGGTTTGAAGTAGATGGCTCTTGTGGTCCCTTCCAACTTTAAACTTCTACGATTCTATAAAAATATAACCATTCATCAGATCCCTTCCCACGATGGAAGAAAGCCCTGTGGAGCAAGTCAGAGGGTAGAAGCCAGCTGGAGAAGTTCCTTGGCTCCTTCATTCTACTGGAATCCACCCCACCAGGGCTGTTGTTGGTAGATGGCCCTAATCACTGCCCAACATTATGAAGTCATTCAGTGCTGCAAATTCAAGACAGCAGTTCCTTGCCCTGTCACCTATTCAGATCATTATTAATAATAATACATTCATTAACTCATTAGCTGACCTCCTAAGGCTATCCCCGCCCACTTCCCCAACAGAAATTGTTCTGAAGAAAGGAATAATTCATTTGTTTATTTTCACAGCGTCTAGCCCACCAATTTGCCAAAGCACTCTAGGAGGTGATCATAAAAGCAAAGTGCAGAACAGGCAATAAAGCGAAACAATAGAACAAAATATTCTAAAAGAACAAAACCAGACATGTGCATTTAAAAGCTTGTCTAAATAATGATACAAAAAACCTAAGAAGTTTGCCTTGCAGACCAAGATCCACCTAATCCATATTCTGTTTCCAGCAACCATCAGTCAGATAGCCCAAGGAACTTTACAAAAAGGATGAGCCATGGCAGGTGTCCCTGATAGTTTGTTCCCAGTTCTTGGAATACAGAGATAAAGGTGCAGGGTGTGGAAGTAGCCATGGTCCCTAATTGGTTATCTGGTTATCTGTTTTTTCATTTCTTCCTAAAAGAATATGAAGAGGTGGGTTTTGGTTTAGGCCTGCTTTGAACTCCAAAGCACAAGGGACACATTATTATTATTATTATTAATAATAATAATACCCCACCCATCTGGCTGGGTTTCCCCAGCCACTCTTGGTGGCTCCCATCATCATCATCATTAAGCAGTGATCAAACATTAAAAACTTCCTTAAACAGGGCTGCCTTCAGATGTCTTCTAAAAGTCAGATACAGTCATACCTCGGGTTACAGATGCTTCAGGGTTATGGACCCGCCGAAACCTGGAAGTACCGGTACGGGTTACTTCTAGGTTTCGGGGGTCGCGCATGCGCAGAAGCGCCAAATCACAACCCGCGCATGCGCAGACACACCACTGCAGGTTGTGAACGCTGCAGGTTGCAAACGTGCATCCCATACAGATCACGCTCACCACCCAAGCGTCCACTGTAGTTGTTTATTTCCTTGACATCTGATGGGAGGGCGTTCCACAGGGCGGGCACCACTTCCAAAAAGACCATGTAAATCTGTCCTCCTGTGGTGAAGGAAATCTAAGCATGTTTCCATATCTAAATCTCAGTTACTGGGGGAGCTCATATGACCTAGGCCAAATGGGACATTATAGGTTAAGACCAAGGCCTTAAACAGAACATGGTGTTGACCTATAAAGCCCTAAATGGCCTCGGCCCAGTATACCTGAAGGAGCGTCTCCACCTCCATCGTCCAGCCCAGGCACTGAGGTCCAGCTCTGAGGACCTTTTGGTGGTTCCCTCACTGCGAGATATGAAGCTACAGGGATCAGGCAGAGGGCCTTCTTGGTAGTGGCGCCCACCGTGTGGAACACCCTCCCATCAGTTGTCAAACAGATAAACAGCTATTTGAGTTTTAGAAGACATCTGAAGGCAGCCCTTTTAATGGATGGAGTTCTATTGTGTTTTTAATATTTTGTTGGGAGCCGCCCAGAGTAGCTGGGACAATCCAGTCCGATGGGTGGCATATAAATAATAAAACTGTTATTGTTGTTGATAACATGTAAACTTTATAGTAACAACATCAAAACCTCACAGAAAGCTAGTGTTTCAGGAACCAAAACCTAGCTTTTACTTGTGCTGGTTTTCTGGGTACATTGATTGACTGGTTTTTAATGTGAAGAACTATTCAAAGGTGTGAATCTTCCACACGTTATTCTGAAGTGGTACAACTCATGGGTTGTGGACTGCATATGTATGTTAAATTTTGGTCTCAGATCTGAGGGACCCCTTTGCAAGGAGAGTAAGCCTAGCAGTCAAACCAGACTGACAGGAACATCTTGTTAAAAACCCACCTAAAATTACAGTTTTGTAAGGAGGACCTCTCTAGGCTTCAGTTTGGGCCTTGCTCAGCTGTAGCTTGTTAACTTTTTCAAGCAAGTTTACTAAAATTTGATTGCGGGAGCACAAATCTCTGGTGATCACTTTCTAGCTGTTCTGGTTTCCAGTAGTATATCCTTTTTATGGTGTTTGGCATGTAAATGATGCTGGCCTTGGAGAAAATAGGGAGGGGGCAGGAGAAAGATTAACATTTTAACGTCATTCCTTGGCTACTCGTGCTGTGCAGGACTGTGTTATTTATGATCATTTTAGTGACCACCAACCAATCAGCTTGGAGATTCCAGTTGAAATATGCAATGTCAATACAACCTGCACAATCCCTGGATTTATTGGCTTGGCTGGTGTTCAGGGGTTTGTGCAGTACTTGCGATCTCTCATTTGGTTCTGTCCTGCTGCTATCATTCCCAAATTACATTTCAGATCGTTATGACATCTGGAATTTCTGGCCAAAGGGGAGACATAAGTGACCCAAAGTTGAACTAAATATTCTTGATGTGACTTGAAGGAAAGGAATGACGCACATCTAATGGGTTAAGAGGTTTCCAGTCATTTTGGACTCATAATAGCTGCCGATACGCAAGGAAGTTTACTTAGGAAAGCTGATCAATGAGTTTTTCCAAACTTGGCTCCTCTACGGATTATTTTAGAGACAAGAAAGCACCTCTCACTTTTGAAACTGAAGCCAAACTATACTTTCCTGTTACACCTTCCTGTTCCTCTTTTTTTTTTCAGCACAAGCTATTTCATTCTAATATAGATTTGTGCATGATTGTCATCACAGTGTAATTCATGTGGCTGCTGGCAGATGGTGCTAGCTCTGTGAACTACAGTGTGATGACAATTAGGATAAGGGAACTGAAGAAGGAGAGGAGGCTGAGGAAGAAGCAAAGAAGGAGGGACAGGTGGTTGAGGAGGCAGAGGTAGAAGCTGAAGGGAAACCTGAGAGGAGGGGAGAAGGACTTAAGAGGGCAGGCAAAACCAAGACCTCCTTGAAGCTGTGTGGAGCTGCTTGCAGTTGCCTCAGTTTGACTGTATATGCTGTTCCCTCCCTCCTCTCTATCAAACTTAAACAAGTTTAATTTCCACTGCTTCCTTTTTAAAAAAATCTAGGAAGTCATAGTTTATTGAGATCCTGAGTATACTCTGGCTGAATCTACACACATTTTTTTTAAAAAAAAAACCACTGCGAAAATGCTTTCAAAAAAACGTTTTGAAATATATATGGAGTTTGCCATTAGCTCACCACCCCCATCTAGTGTCACTTTGGTATAATGCACTTAAAATGTTATATTTGCAGCTGTATAGCTGAGTCCTCTGTCTAAGGGACCCAAACCCAATAAAGAGTTAGTTTTAAGCAGGGCTGTGCAACTGCTTTGAGCAAATCCTGAGTTCCAAAGTGAACTGGGCCAATTCAGTCCAAAGTAGTCCTGGCCCAAAGCCCATCTCTGAGTCGGTCTGAAGTGCATTGGACGAATCCAAATCAATCCAGAGCACTTGGGGCTGAACTGGAGTTCAAAGCGCTCTCTAAGAAAACCAGACGGCCTGTCTCCAAAGTGCAAAACAACACTGTGTAAGGAGGGAGCAATGAGGGAAAGGGAGCTGGAGTCTGTCATTATGAGTACTTTGCTGTGTGGGTGTTTGTGTCTTGTGAGTATATTGTACACAGCCAATGCATAAATAGTACATGAACAGCAAATGTATAAATGATAAAGCTTAGCACTAGCATGAAGCATCTAGATAGCAATTGTGGTGCTCAACAGACTATAGGGTCTTTTAAAAATATATATATATTGGGGGGCGGTCTTTAAAGGAGGCTACCAAAAAAAGCCCTTGACCTACCTGTTGTTAGGCTAAATCCCTTCTGGAGACAGCTACCAAGTCTCCAAACTTGCATACACATAAATACATGTGATGGAACAAGAAAATTATGGCCATTTTACTTTTTTAAGAGCAAATTTTAAGATGGCTAGCACATAAAACCATGAATCTACCTGTCTGAAATTCAGCAAAGTTAATTGTCTCTTAAGGGGCTAGCTACCATGTCCTCATAGTCCATGTACCTATGTAAGGGGAGGAAAGTTATGCAAGTCAGTGAAAGGAATGAGAATTCAGATTTCCAAATATTTGATTTTGCTTCAGGGTATAAGCCAGGTCTGAATCAATCCAAACTAAATTGGCCTCCAATGCACATCACCAAATTTAGTCCTAAGCCCTAGTCTTAACTATGGTTTGCTAAAATGAGATAACTTGAACCCATGGTTTAGAAAGCTGGCTTTTAAGCAAAACATTATTGATTAACCACACTTGAAGGTTCAGATGCTACACTGTGGTGAATCAAAAATATAAGCAGAAACTGCCAATATCATGACCATGCCAGTGGAGGAGAGGGAAGCATGGTAGGTACAAGAAGGAGGGCAGTGAGGCAAGCATATCCAAAACAAGGAGGTTCCCCCCTTGCTGGATCCCTGTCATATACTGCTATTTTTCTTTCATATATCTTAATGTGTATGACACAGCTCGCCCACCTTGACACATAAAAGTAAAGGTAAAGGGACCCCTGACCATGAGGTCCAGTCGTGGCCGACTCTGGGGTTGCAGCGCTCTTCTCGCTTTATTGGCCGAGGGAGCTGGCGTACAGTTTCCGGGTCATGTGGCCAGCATGACTAAGCCGCTTCTGGCGAACCAGAGCAGCGCATGGAAACGCCGTTTACCTTCCCGCCGGAGCGGTACCTATTTATTGCACTTTGACGAACTGCTAGGTTGGCAGGAGCTGGGACCGAGTAACGGGAGCTCACCCCGTGGCGGGGATTCGAACCGCCGACCTTCTGATCGGCAAGTCCTAGGCTCTGTGGTTTAACCCACAGCGCCACCCGCGTCCCTCACCTTGACACATACTTTGCCCCTTTTGTACCCTCCCTCGGAACTTATTTTTTTCTGGTGCCACCACTGGAGGGAAGACGAAAAGACTGAGAGTACAGCCTTGTTCTCAGGATGCTAAATGCCCAAATGCATAATGCTGAACTATAGTTTAACATGGCGTCTCCAATGCAGCCAACACGGAACGCTTGAGAGTGTTTCTGCTGGTGTGCAATGTGCGTTGATTTGTGCTGTTTTTATATCCTCTGCTCGGTTTCCTAGAGGCAGTAATATGGAAGGAATCAATCTTCATGTTCCTGGTAGAAAACAAGCGAGGCGTTTCTTTTCTTTCTTTCTTTTTCATTACGAAAGAAACCAAATAAAAACACCTGTCCAAAAAATAAGAAGAGAAAATTTTTTGCACACATGCATGTGCACATATGGAGTATAATGCATTCAATTTATCATCATTGTCTGCAGACTGAGTCGAGGAAAAGCATTCCAAACACTGTTCCTGCTGTGGAATGCAGCCATTCTTCATGAAATCCTTCAGGGCATAGAACATTTTAAAGCTGAAAGTGTTTCACAGCATAGTTTAAATAATCCGTCATCAATCGGAACTTTCTCAGAGTCTTCGGCCTTTCTGATTGCGAGCGGCTAAAGTTATACAAGAAACGTTGAGAGGTAAAAACCACTCTTTGGGGCCCTGATTCTACTTGGATGTAATGAGATGCTGTCAAGCCTCCTTCCTTAATATGGCTCTTGGAGGGTTTACCTACTGTGCAGAAAACTTCCCACATTGCTTCAGCGTTTCACAGAGGGAGAGCTAAAAGCAGGAGCCTATAAAAATGACCAAGGTCCATATAGTTAAATCCATGGTTTTCCCAGTAGTGATGTATGGAAGTGAGAGCTGGACCATAAAGAAGGCTGATCGTCGAAGAATTGATGCTTTTGAATGATGGTGCTGGAGGAGACTCTTGAGAGTCCCATGGACTGCAAGAAGATCAAACACATCCATTCTTAAGGAAATTAGCCCTGAGTGCTCACTGGAAGGACAGATCATGAAGCTGAGGCTCCAATACTTTGGCCACCTCATGAGAAGAGAAGACTCCCTGGAAAAGACCCTGATGTTGCGAAAGATGGAGGGTGCAAGGGGAAGGGGGATGACAGAGGACGAGATGGTTGGACTGTGTTCTCGAAGCTACAAATATGACTCTGACCAAACTGTGGGAGGCAGTGGAAGACAGGAGTGCCTGGCGTGCTCTGCTCCATGGGGTCACGAAGAGTCAGACACGACTAAACGACTAAACAACAACAAATAAAGATGACCAAGCTTAGCTAGGTCTTCCTATCATCCTGTAAAGTACAAGGACAATTCTGCAATGTGCTCGGTACAGATCTGTATGTCTAGTGCAGGCATAGGCAAACTCGGCCCTCCAGATGTTTTGGGACTACAACTCCCATCATCGCTGACCACTGGCCCACCATTTTTCTATCACTCATTAGTTTTACCATAAGTCTATATAAAAAGTTTAAATTTTCCAATCTTCTTCCACCATCTCTTCTCCCAGGTTTCGGATTCTGCCAGTCCTTTCCGTCAATTCCATAAAGTCCATCAACCTAGTGACCTTATGTCTGAGGCTCTTAATTCTTTTCCAAGTCCCTTCTGCGGGTCTTCTTCATTTTCTTTAATGCTAAAGAGCCAATCTCGGAGATATTCCAACCTGTCAATCCTTTTCTTCCTTCTGCACAAATCAGCTGAGTTTCCATAGTTAAAACTACAGTCCATAAAGTATTTCCGGGTATATTTCAAAGTTCCTCCAATTCCAAAGGCCCCCAAAACTTCAATCTCCTCCAGGTCCGAGTCCATGTCCCAAAAGTCAGTTAGTCCCTGCATAAAGGGCTCTTTCCAACTTTCCTTCTTTAATCCAAACCGGGATCCATTCCTTGGAGTCTGACTTTTCCTGAATTCAATCATAGAAGGCCTCAACTTATAATCTCCAATTTGCTTCTGTAAATCCACAGATCTCACTTGTATTATTTTATGTTGAACAACAGCTGCATTCTCCTTCTCCTTCTCCTCCTTCTCCTCCGCCATTTGTCCTGCCAAAATGGGTTCCTGTACCAAGTCCTGAATTATTTCTGTGTTAGTGTTTGCTTTTTGACTCAAGTTGGTCACTTTCTGTTCCAAATTATCAACTTTAAAAGTCATATCATCCATCTTCTTGTGAAGCTGTCCCAGCGAACAGCTTATCTTACATAAAAAAGTCAAAATGGCCTCTCCTATCAACATTTTTAAATAGCCCAAGGTTGCTCTCTGGTTCCCAAACTCCTTTTCTGCAGCTGGAAATTCCCCAGTTACAGTCCTGTTACAGTTTCAAAAGCTCCCTCTAGAGGGAAACAGTCTCCACTTGTATCAGTTCTTTTAAGCACAATTTCAAACATTAAAGATAAAATTTCAGTTACTTTTCCTCTTTTTTTTTAAACGCAGAAAGGGACAATGGAAACAGTATCTTACTCTTGTTTAGCTAACTGTCAAATCTGTTCTGTCAATAGCACTCTCTTCAATCATCATCTGGCAGCCCGTTCCCAGGTTCAGAGCAGTGGTAATCTGATTTCTTCACTCTCTCCTGCAGGCTCACTAGATCCAAAATTTCCCCCCTCTTCTCCTGCTTCCCAAGGGGGTTTTGTAACTTTAAACCGGTGGAAATTTAATCCTTTGCCAAAAACTTTCAAAGGCTTTACTTGTAACGTCTTTGCTTCAGTCTATTTACTAAAACGGAAGGCGGACTTCCTGTTTGTGACCTCCCGCTTCAGTGCCCAATTAAAGTATTTAAAAATCCAATTTTCCGATTTACTCACGAGTAGTTGTTTGAAATCCAATTGTCCACAGGAAAAGGTCAGTGCTCCCTGGCAACAGCAATGCGGCTTCACTCCGTGAAAAAAGCAGTTGATTCAAAGCACCGTGCCACTCACCCCACGTCGCTCCGGATCCCCAAAACAGGGTTTCCCCGCGAGTAGGGGAGGCGCAAAGGTGCCAGCCGAATCCCACGTCCACAGGCTTCTCCCGCCTGTGGTTTTTAATGGGTCTCCGCCTCGCCGTGGCGGTTCAGACCCTGTTTTTCGCGGAGCAGGTTCCTCCCGATCGGAGGAAATCCGCCATTGCCAGAGGCGCCAACCCGGAAGTCCCACAGGTGATGGGAATTTTGATCCACGAAATTTTGATGAGCAGCATTCTATTGGAGCTCCGTGATTGCAGCTGCCCCCAAATTGAGGCCAGGATGTATGGGGAGAGACCTCCTGTAGGCCTTCCCTAAGCCTCATTTGGCCAAATCTCTTGAGACTCAGGGTCTCAACTTCTAGGTCAGCTGCTTCAGCTTTCAGTTGGTCCAGTTGGGTACTGGCATGGAGGGGATGCAATTTGGTGCTCTGCTTCGGGTGTCAAAATGGCTTGGGCCAGGCTCTAAATACAAGGGGGAAAGCTAGACTCTGAACAGCCCTATAGTGCATGTGACAGCATAACTAATCTCTAGAAAAGTGAGTGGCTCCAGCACTAGCACCAGGTTAAGGTCTCCCTGGTCAGAATTCACTAGGACTAAGGAACACAGCAGACCCTCCGAGTGTCCCTATTTTCTGTGGGGATGATTAGGGAGGCAGGAGAGGATACATTATTTAATGATATCCTTCCTAACTTGCGCTAGCAAGTTCCATATTCTAGCAGAGTTCCAAACACCCCCCTTTTTAAATTATGCAGCGATCAGCTTGTTGCTGACTCATCTGAGTCTTACTATTAAAGATTCCTTCCTGGTAAAATCTCTTCTAATCCCTCTTGAAAAAAGAATAAACACAAGAATATGATTAACATTAATATAAAAGTAGTTTACTCACAGATTCATTCAGGTTCACAGACATATCCCTGAAGGCAGGTTTAGGTTACATAACAACTAGAACTATTCCATAAAGAAGTTAGTCCCAAGTGACTGCGACTAAGCAGTCACTTCTCCAAACACACAGATCAAACCATGGAGGCTGTGTGCTCCTCCATGCTAGTACAATAGACCACACCCTCTTCAAGTCGCATGTAGCGGAAGTCTGTCCCAGCTCAGGAGGAAACAGGAAGTCTTCTCCTGAGTGGTACAAAACATCCCCTAACATGTCCACTGTAGGAATGTTGTACAGTGGACTCTCGGGTTGCGAACGTGATCTGTGCAGGATGCACATTCGCAATCCGCAGCGTTCACAACCCACAGCAGCATGTCTGTGCATGCGCGGGTTGCGATTCAGCGCTTCTGCGCATGCACAAAGCGTGATTTAGCACTTCTGCACATTCACGACCGCCGAGTAACTCATTCCAGTACTTCCGGGTTTCGGCGGTCCGTAACCCGAAAAAACTCAACCTGAAGCATCTGTAACCCGAGGTATGACTGTACTTGGCTGCAGTTTTACATCCCACATTTTCCAGGGACAGCCCTGGGTTTACAGAAGCCATTCCTATTTCTGATTTGATCCTGGAATGTCCCACTTTTCCTTAGGACATCCGTATTTCTATCAGAGAAATGTTGGAGGGTATAGTAGGTGTGTCCACTCTTAAAGAAAACTTCATTAGATCCCTTAGACCTATCCAATTACCGCCCAGTTTCAAATCTTCCATACCTGGGTAAGGTAATTGAGAGAGCAGTTGCTGAACAGCTTGGTAGGTTTCTGGAGGAAACATCGGCATTAGATCCATTTCAGTCCGGTTTCCGTCCTGGTTTTGGGACGGAGACGGCTCTGGTTGCCCTAACAGATGATCTCCATAGACAACTGGATCGAGGCGGGTCAGGACTGCTGATCCTTTTAGATTTGTCAGCGGCCTTTGACATGGTCGATCATGATCTTCTGGACCACTGCCTCGCAGACGTGGGGATACAGGGCATAGCCCGTAACTGGTTGTGCTCTTTTATCTCTGGTCGGGGACAGAGGGTGGCACTAGGGAGAGAAATGTCGTCGCACCACTCCTTGGTGTGTGGAGTGCCGCAGGGCGCAATTCTCTCCCTGATGATTTTTAACATCTTTATGCGCCCCCTTGCCCAGATTATCCGGAGCTTTGGGCTGGGCTGTCACCAATATGCTGATGACACTCAGCTCTATCTGCTGATGGATGGCCACACCGACTCGGCCCCTCACACACTCACCAGATGCTTGGAAGCTGTGGCTGGATGGTTTCGTGGGAGCCGATTGAAACTAAATCCTTCGAAGACAGAGGTCCTATGGCTAGGTCGGGATGGCATGGGGATGAGGGACCAACTCCCTTCTCTTGCGGGGGCCCAATTAGTGCCATTGCCTTCCGTTAAGAGTTTGGGTGTAATCCTTGACGCCTCCCTTTCCATGGAGGCGCAAGTTACAGCAACAGCCAAGGCGACATTTTTCCACCTTCGCCGCATCAAGCAGTTGGTCCCTTACCTTTCCCGCCCCGACCTGGCCACAGTGATCCATGCGACGGTCATCTCCAGGCTTGACTACTGTAATTCGCTCTACGTGGGGCTGCCCTTGAAGCTGTCCCAGAAACTCCAGCGGGTACAGAATGCTGCAGCGAGGCTCCTCACGGGGTCTCTGCCATGGGAGCATATTCACCCAGTGCTTTTCAAGCTGCACTGGCTCCTGGTGGAGTACAGGGTCAGATTTAAGGTGCTGCTTTTGACCTTTAAAGTCCTTCACGGCCTAGGACCCTCGTACCTACGGGACCGCCTCTCCTGGTATGCCCCACGGAGAGCCTCAAGGTCCATAAATAACACCACCCTAGTGGTCCCAGGCCCTAAGGAAGTTAGATTGGCTTCAACCAGAGCCAGGGCCTTTTCAACTCTGGCTCCGGCCTGGTGGAACACTCTGCCTCATGAGACCAGGGCCCTGCAGGATCTGATTTCTTTCTGCAGGGCCTGTAAGACAGAGTTGTTCCGCCTGGCCTTTGGCTTGGAGCCAATTTGATTCCCTCCCTCCCTCTCTTTCTTTTTTCTTTTCCTTCTCCCCCTGCGATGAGGCTACATTTTAATATTTTAATGTTCCATTATTTTAATGTTGTATTTTATTTTTGTTTTTAAGTTGTAATCATTCATCTTGTTTTTATTATTGCTTGTAAGCCGCTCTGAGCCCGGCCTTGGCTGGGGAGGGCGGGGTATAAATAAAAAATTATTATTATTGTTGTTGTTGTTGTTGTTGTTGTTGTTGTTATCCCTATTTTCACTGGAGAAATGTTGGGGGGTGTATGTCACAGGCTCTTTTCACCCAAGAAGCTTGCCTCCAGTTCACCCAGCTGGAAATGGATACTTAACCAGTTGATGGAGAAGTCACGCTGTGGAATTTGCCACATCACTTCTGAGTGCCAGGGGTGTGGTCCAGCCACTGAGTCCCAGTGGCTGAGGAGGGACTGAGCACAAACTCTCCGAAACATACTTGATATAAGAGAGGCCCCTGCCTCCAGGAGTTTACAATTGAGATGATGGATTTCTCTGACATGGGGCTACTAGCGCATGCCTAGACTGGTGTGCTGAGTGTTTTTTAGACAAATAAAAGATACCCAGGAGAGCATTCAATCTAAACTGTTCAGGAGAAGCATTTTTCTGTGAATCATTTTTTAGGACAAGTTCCGAGAATTTTTGATTCAACAAATGTCAGATTTTTCTATGCAACCGGAGTGAAGTGGGGGGTGGCTATGAGAAAGTGAAAATGTAACAAGACTGGCTTTAGCAAGATTTAGAGTTGTTTGATGAACAGATTCCAACAGGTCTTGGCTCCACAGAATAAATCAGGAAGAGGTTGCCCATAGTGTAGCCAAACACTATAAGGGGGAAATGGGAGCTGGGAAGTTGTGCTTCAAGCAAACAAGGAATAGTTAATACAAGTGGGACAGTGTGGCCTGTATTTAATGTATGTCAACATCATGCAAGACCTGGTTGTCTCCTTATCTGACAAGCTGAGACCAGGTTTATCTAAAGGTTCACTAGAATCTCCTCCTTTCTGAGTGAACCTGGGCCCAGCATTGTGTAAAACCTGGCAGATTTACGTGCCACATTTTCACATGATTTTGACATAAAACCAGATAAAACTTGGCCGTTTTTCCAGTGTGCCTCACTGTGGGATTTTGCCTTTATTTGGACCTGAAACTCAGAACATACTTCATAGTCTGGGAAAAGTCGTTCTACGATACGAAAGGAAGCAATCGCCACGGAAATGAGGGCTTTGGCATAGCCTGGGTGATCTAATGTATTAGAAAATGGCAGCTGAATAATGTGAGAACTGGAGACCGTACTCTGAGGAGATTGGCAGAGAAAAGGTTTTCGGTGTGGATAGACAACTTGAAAGAGGCTGATGTATTCGGTGGTTCACAAACAAAGGAAGGCCACAATGCGCTTGTGATCGGAGGAGGCAACATTCAGCAAGCACGACAGGAATCGGTTTATAAGACTTTGCTTTTCTGAAGCTAGAGAAGGCAGCTTTAAATGATAAAGGCAGTTTTAAACGATTTTTCTGATTAGGAATCAGGAAAATGTTGTTGTTTAGTTGTTTAGTCGTGTCCGACTCTTCGTGACCCCATGGACCAGAGCACGCCAGACATTCCTGTCTTCCACTGCCTCCCGCAGTTTGATCAAACTCATGCTGGTAGCTTCAAGAACACTGTCCAACCATCTCGTCCTCTGTCATCCCCTTCTCCTTGTGCCCTCCATCTTTCCCAACATCAGGGTCTTTTCCAGGGAGTCTTCTCTTCTCATGAGGTGGCCAAAGTATTGGAGCCTCAGCTTCCCAATCTGTCCTTCCAGTGAGCACTCAGGGCTGATTTCCTTAAGAATGGAGAGGTTTGATTTTCTTGCAGTCTGTGGGACTCTCAAGAGTCTCTTCCAGCACCATAATTCAAAAGCATCAATTCTTCAGAGATCAGACTTCTTTATGGTCCAGCTCTCCATAAAAAATCAGGAAAATACGAGATGGTAATAGGAAGTGGTTAAGATTCCGCCAGGAGCTTTGGTTGAATTCAGGAACATATGCAGGGAAAGTATGACATACACTCTAGATGTTGCTTGACTACAACTCCCTTGACCATTGGCTTTGCTGCCTGAGGAAGATGGGAGTTGGGAGTCCATCAATCTCTGGAGGCCTCACTTTGGCTTCGCCTCTGAGTCTCGGTGCTTTAGAGACAATGGCAGGCCATTATAGAAGCAGCCAATCGCTCAGGACAGTTTACATTCTGCCTGTAAAAGAGGATGCAAATTTGCATATGATACAAATCATGTGCACATTTTATGCAAATCAGTGTCCTCTTTGCGAGTAAGTCAGAGGGTCCAAATTCTGCTGAAAATTCTGCTACCACCTCCAGTTCCCAGGCTTCATATTGGAAAAGTTCTCTACAAGAGAGAACTTCTACACATATGCAAAATAAGCCATGGCTATGATTCGTACTCCACCGGTTATGTCCTTTACTTACTTACTTACTTAATGAAATTTATATACAGCTTGATTGCGAGAAATCTCAAAACAGTTTACGTAAAACAGTAAAATCCAGAGAAAATTACAAGCCTACTTTAAAACATATAAAAGTTAAACTACTAAAACAGATTAAAAGTACCTCAACTTTCTAAGCACCTGGGTACCTTGTCTAAACAGGAATAATAATAATAGTAATAATAATAATAATAATAATAATAATAATAATAATAATAATAATATAATAATAATAATAATAATAATAATAATAATAATAATAATACACTCTGGGCGGCTTCCAACTGAATATTAAAAACAATACAGCATCAGACATTAAAAACTTCCCTAAAGCGGGCTGCCTTCAGTTGTCTTTTAAAAGTAAAATAGTTGTTTAACGCCTTGACATCTGATGGGAGGGCGTTCCACAGGGCGGGCGTCACTACTGAGAAGGCCCTCTGCCTGGTTCCCTGTAACCTCACTTCTCGCAATGAGGGAACTGCCAGAAGGCCCTCGGTGCTGGATCTCAGTGTCTGGGCTGAACGATGGGGGTGCAGACGCTCCTTCAGGTATACAGGACCGAGGCCGTTTAGGGCTTTAAAGGTCAGCACCAACACTTTGAATTGAAATGTTCCTAGCAGGTGCCAAAATTAGTACATTGAAGGCGCCTGTTTGATCTCAATAAGCAGGGAGTTTCAAAGTCTAGGCACTGCCACACTAAACTATCGAGTTCTTACAAACGCAGAAGCATCATGCTTCACTTCCTTGTTACTTGAAGAGATGCAACAGTAATGAGAGTTCCTTGGGATTTGTGGGATGGGATGCCATTTCATGTTAATGGGCAAATTTGCAGCTTTTAATATTCTGTAGCCATCCGGACCTTGGTACCTAAGCACAAATGAGTTGGCTTTATGGGAACAAGACAAAGGTTTAAAAATATACAGGTGTGGGTGAAATTAGGCATCAGGAATGTGTACAAAAACAATGAAGTTTGCCTCCCACATCTTTCCAGATGTTGAAACAAGAAAACAGTCTATTAGGCAGTTGTAATTCTTCTTTATTTGGTTTGGTGTTTGGATTAACCTTCGCCTGTTTTTTCTACCTTGGACCTCTATTGCAACATTTGTCCAGGGTTCAGAGGTGCTCTCTCCAAGGTGTTAATTTTAAATTTTCTTTACAATGTAAACATACCCACTGAGCATTCTTTCATTATTATTATTTATTATTATTCGGGGAAGGCTCACCCCAATCACAGTTCTACTCGCTTAAGCCCACAGCCTTATAGATCCCGAGCAAAGGAAATAAAATAAAAAACACATTTCAGTCAACAGGGCGTGTTTCAGCCAACATGGTGGTGCTGCGCGTAATTGAATTAGTGGCGGTAGCTGTCATTCCCCCACAGGGGACTGATTCAAGGCAGATGGCAATAAAAATGGCATTATATAACACATCTTATATATGTATAAATACACACAATCACACATATATAACGGATGGAACTTTACGAATCCATGTGGATTCTGCAGCAAGAAAAATTATTACCTGGGAAGTCTCTTCTCAGGGACCCAATCCATAGAAAACATGAAAAATGCATTTTATATATTCTTCTTATGTTATATATTGACATCCATTGTTCATTAGGTTCTGTGTTGTAAGCTGCCCCGTGGTCTTTTGATGAAGGGTTGTATCTAAACATTTAAAGACCAGTCAGTCAATAGTTAACTATGAGTAAGTGCTTATTCATATGGTAAAATGTTAAGCACTTTGGTTTTCAGAACTGAAATATACAAGAAACGGCAATCACTGGTAAATCTTGGTATGCAACGAGATGCTCTCTAGCAAAGGAATTTTGGTGTGTGACTCCTCATTTCCCTTTTGAAGGAAGACTCAACTGGCAACAGGGAAAAGGGACTGTCTGGATTTTTGAACAAGGGCAAGAAGGGTATTATTTCACCTGAGCCACTTGTCATCGCCAAGGCAGTTACACACAGCTACCTCCAAGTTCTTAAAAAAGAAATTGTCCTCCACGACCAAAGTTTTGGGTGGTGGCTTCACATGCCTAGTGGATTGGCAAGACTGTGGGACTCCATCAAGATTTTATCTCCATTTTCCTTAGCCACTGCCATCAAATACGCTGAGCTCTGTGGTCCCTAGTGGCTTCACTCTGAGTGTCTTTGGCAGGGCTCCTGACTATGATGGAGAGTCTTCATCTTCTGGGCCAAGGTTAGTGTATAGTATTTACCTCCAACTTTGCTACAATAATTAATATTCATTAACCCAAAAGGTGTTTCCATATGTGTCTCTGGCAGCCTAACAATTACAGAGGTGTAGGTTTTACAAAGAGCTCAAAGTTGACTGGTCAGACTGGGAGAACGATAATACAGTCTCCTTTATTCTATTATTTTTGGCAGTGGTGCTTGCTTCATTTTTCTTTTAGCATGCATCTCTCTCCCTCTCAAAAAAAACCCCAACCTAAAGATTGCTGCCCACTACAAATAATGAAAAGTAGCTGAGTACATTGAGCTGGTGACTCTTCAGTGCTATACATCAGTGGCTCCATATCTAGCTGTAACCTCATCTGAGTGTCCCTTCCTGACAGTGACATAGCATGAGTTGCCAGCACCTGGGGCAAGACAGGAGAAGCATGACCCCCAACACCTCCCAGACCATCACCTAGTTAGCCCTGGGACCAGTTCAGTGGGGAAAACAGATGGATACATGCCTAGCTCTCACCTGGCAGAATCAGTGCTGCTCCAATGGAGCCCAGCGGTGGAGGTTTCACAGCCCAGGAGGAGAGGCATGAGGACAAGTGCTGGGTGCAGACAGATCACAAGAGGTTCCTGCATGGCTGTATGGCGGGTAAAGCTGCATCTCCAAAGCACCAGCAAGATGGTTCAGTCTCACCTCTTGCCTGCCTCCTGCCTCTGCCTCTGCCTCCAGCTGGCCTGCCAAGTGGGGTGAATGTGTGGCCGGCCTGTAGGCAAGGAGTGGCTCAGTGGGAGGGTTTCTCCAGCCTGAACTGGCCTAGCCTCATGGTAGGAGAAAGCCACCAAGGCCTGGCCTCCATATCCATGCTCTCCCCGCCTCCCCTCCTGCCCCAAGTGGTACATGAAGTCCTAGAGGACCAAAATAGATATTATTATTATTATTATTATTATTATTATTATTATTATTTTCTGGGCTGTCAGAGTGCATGTGACCCCACATTCCATGGAGGGCTAAATTGTAGATACCAGAGATTGAACGTGAAACCATCTGCAAGCAAAGCACATTCTCTACCACTGAACTATGATTGGGAAGAAGCTTGTTTTGGGGTCATTGGACAGTCCCTGGGAAAAAAATTATTCTTCTGACTGCAAGTCTATATGAGCCACTCTTTAAACTAAAGGTTAATCTAAGGTTTGTGTGGGTGAGGAATTCCCTCCTTCTTCCTCTATAAGCACAATTTCTCCCAGTGACTCTTTAAGAGTATGAATGAGTTGGACGTTCTCTGCAGCTGCCATGCTTGATAACAGAACTTTTAATTAAGAGCTCCCCCGTCAAAAAAAGTTTCTACTGCAGCTTTGGCTGGTTTAGTTTTACCATCACTCCTCCTGACATGCTTTTCTTATGCTAACTTGTTGGTCTTGTGATGGTGGCATAGTAAATAATACTCCCAGCTGGGCTGAGGAGCCTTCCAAACTGATCCTAGGTCCTGGTCTCGGTGGTATTGCTAATGATTACACAGCTGCCCACTAGGCTTCTCTAATATAGGCTCCTGGGTCCCACTGCTTCAGAAAGTTGCAATAAAGTTTATTTTCATTTGAAACAAAATATATTGGGATCATTGTCAGAGCAACCCCAGAGGCTTGCAGAAGGGGCCTACCATGCAACGGCAGAATATTAGAAGCCCTCGGGCTATTTGTGCTGCCACGGCAGCGGAGGTGTAATTTACCTATTCTTCCACTGTGCTTTGGAGGAAAGAAATCAAGGGGAAGGGTCAAAAGATCCCTTACAGCAACACTGTGCAGCCACAAAGCAACCAAACTGGAAAGAGTCGGGTTCGCAGCTAATATAAATACATTGGTACTGTTGCTACATTGGTTTACAATAGCGGTGGGTAAAGCCCAGAGTTTGTCAGGTTTTGTCAGGCTGAGCCACCAAGTCAAGGAAGCAAAAGTTCAGGCGTTCTCCAAGTGTAAAAATGAAGAAGAAGAAATGAGACGGATGGGTCACCTGGCAATGTCCAGCTTTGTTCTCAGGAAGTTCAGATCATCAAGGAGATTGGCGGGAAATGGAAGATGGATCATTGCATGACAGTTGCTGCCCGATTGTTTTGTTCTTGGATACATTAGTTCTATAAGCCGCAGAACCTGAAGCACTGCTTGCTGGGAAATGTAGTCTAACAGCAGGAAACAGGACAAGGGGACACATTTGTCCATTTTCGTTCTCCAGGTTTCTCGTTTTTCCTGTCTAAATTCAGTGCTTTACATTTGCACAATTCACAATTTAAAAAAAAATCCTCATGAAAATATATCAGCGTTTTGGTGCAAATTTTCTCATATACATACAGTGGTACCTTGGGTTAAGAACTTAATTCATTCTGGAGGTCTGTTCTTAACTTGAAACTGTTCTTAACCTGAAGCACCACTTTAGCTAGTGGGGCCTCCTGCTGCCGCTGCACCGCCAATGCACAATTTCTGTTCTCATCCTGAAGCAAAGTTCTTAACCCAAGGTAATATTTCTGGGTTAGCGGAGTCTGTAACCTGAACCGTATGTTACCTGAAGCGTATGTAACCTGAGGTACCACTGTATACAGTTATGACTTATACACATTTTTGCAATCTCCCCTAATATAATGCATATTTGAACGTTAATTTCACCAATACGTGCATTTTATGCACATTTTAACCCCAGTATATACATTTTTGTACACTTTGCAAACTTTGGAGAAGTGCAAATTTGAAAGGATGGCTATGTTTTGGTTCTTATATTGTTTCAAAAAAGTGAGAATTTGATAGATTTATCTTTAATTGAGAACTGGACTGAATGTCTTCCGCACCCCTAGCTGAGACAAATCCTAAATCTGTCCGAAGCAGCCACTTGTTTTGGGATTCATTCAACTCTGCTGCACACCCCCAGTCATAGCTGTCAATGTCTCCCTTTTTTTAAGGGAAATTCCCTTATTCCGAATAGGATTCCTCGCAAGAAAAGGGAAAAGTTGACAGCTATGCCCCCAGTTCCTACATTGCTATTTGTTAATGTGCAATTCTCCACAGCCCTTTCAACTCTTGGTCAGGGTAAAAGCACTTTCCTGTAAGTTGGCTACTTGCTCTGCTGTCGTCAACATGTTTTTTATATGTCAGGTTCGAAACCAGAAGTGAGAGATTTATGGATGGGGCTCGGTGTCCAGCTCTGTTGAATGTGGATCCAGAAAAGGGATAAATGTTTACCTTTGCCTTTTCCCTTCTGAATGGCAGGTACTTTTTATTAGCCTGCCCTCTGCACTTTAAGAGGAAACAAAACTCTGAGAGGTGAATTCCTTTCAATTTCAGTTACCTAGTCTATAAATAAATTCTCCAGTAACCATAGGGAAGGCCAAGTTCCATACAGTTGACCAATGCCCTTTCACCTCCTTGTGGCCAAAAGCCACCTGGCTGCCGATTGGCTACTGACATGCCGTAGGAAGCAAATGTCTCACAGGCAATGGTCCCTTTTATTTTTAGCCTTCCCACAAACATTAACTTCAACACACCTCTCGTCCAATGCCCATTTTATCCCGAAAAGGATACTCTTTCCACAGGTGGCTCCCGAACCTTTGACCTCAAATGGCTAATTAGCAGCCGAATACCACTCGGTTCACACCACCATAAAAAGAAAAAATCCCTCCCTTGCAAAACTTTCTTCTTTTCTAGTCCTTGCCCCACAAATGAACTACGAAAACATAAACAGATTTTTTTTTTAAAAAAGTGGATTCAAGCTGGGATGTGCAAAATGTTGTCTGGCCACATAGAGCAGGAAATGAACAATTGTGGGCATGTACCATTATACACCCAGAGAACTGTATTCCTTTTTCATATTATTGAAATGCCGGGCATGTGATTTTCAACCACTGCAAAATTCTGAAGCTCCTAACACTTAGCAACTTCTTTGTTTCTTCTCCTTGACTCCTACAAGCAAATCATTCCTACGGCAATTGGATACTTAGCTACTAATTAATTAAAGTTTGAATTAGAAGTGGTCTCATCTCAGAATTCTGAACAAATGTTTTTGGTTTTTGGAGGAATCCTATACACAGGAAGCTGGTGTAAAGCAAGCTGGTGTAAGTGAAACTACTCTAGAGTTATACCAGATCCTAACTCTTGGGCAGCAGAGCTTCTGTTGGCTGAGCCAGCCTAAACCTGGAAGAGGGAGAACAATTATTTTTTAATAGTACATGAGTTTTTACCTCAAGTTGCCAGGTCACATGATATAACAGGACAGACTTAGGTTCCAGTCTAAGTCATCCCCCTCTGGTCCCACCCCTCAAACACTCCTTTTTCGGGGTTTAGACCATCTTAAGACCCACTGGGCTCAGCTCATTTTCCTGGGTCCTGGCTGAACCAGGATGAAGGATATACACTGGTTATTTCTGGCTGAGCTGAGGAGAAGAGAGTTAAGCTAGCATTGCCAGACTGTTCTGGGAACCTCACAGCCCAACCGGAGATCCGCTGGATCCTAAAAGGCTCGTCCTAGCAGATCTTGCTATAGGATTGCTCCCTCTGTCATCATTGCATCAGCTTTGATCCCCATTTCAGTTCTCACATCACAGACCATGAGAATATGAGTCACCAACCAAGAGTGTATAGAGACGGTACAGTGGTACCTCTGGTTAATAACTTAATTTGTTCCAGAGGTCCGTTCTTAACCTGAAACTGTTCTTAACCTGAAGCACCACTTTAGCTAATGGGGCCTCCCGCTGCTGCTGCGCCGCTGGAGCACGATTTCTGTTCTCGTCCTGAAGCAAAGTTCTTAACCTGAAGCATTATTTCTGGGTTAGCGGAGTCTGTAACCTGAAGCATATGTAACCTGAGATACCACTGTACCATGTTTTGAGCCTATCTCTTAGTCCTCTCCCTCTCCCTCTCTCTCTCTCTCTCTCTCTCTCTCTCTCTCTCTCTCTCTCTCATAAGAGGCATCAGTTCTAAAGTGGGGGAATCACTACCAGAAACAAGGGAAGTCTTTTACAGTCTATAACAGGGACAGGACTGACCACTACAAAATGGGAGCAGCTGCATCGTGTGAGTTGCCAGTGCTTGGGGAGGGCAAGCCACTGGTGCCACCTGTGTGCCCCCCTCCCCCGCTGAAGTGAAGCAGGGCTGCACTGTGCCACCTGCCTGCCTGTGCAAGGGGGAGCCCTGCCAGGTGTGTGGCCCTTGGCAGACGAATTCCGCCGATGCCCACAGAGAGGAGTGCCCGGGGTCATGATGGGGTCATCCTTTGCCCCCCTCTGCACCCACTCAACGTGGGCATGGGCTGCTCCACTGCCTTCACCAGGACAGGATAGGGATCCCTGTAGAAGCTGGTGCCTGCGTGCCTTCAGAATTTTGTGCCCAAGGGCCACAGCCCCTCTGGGGGCCCCTTACACTATGCCACTGAATGGGAGTAATTGAGACTCTTTGCCTGTTGGGTTTGGGTCTCAGCTGAGCAGTTGTTCAACACACAGAAACCCTTCTGGAGAGAAACAGTCCCAGAGTCCCCAAAAGAAAACAACAACAACACAGCCCTCCTTCTCAAATCGGCTATTGAAAGAAGCAGCGGCGCAAGCTATCTTTGCGTGTGTTGAACGAGAAGAATGGAGAAAGGAGAAGGATATAAGCCTGGCTGATGCACTCGCCAATAAACACTGGTGCACATATGTATTCTCAGTGAAGACACCTGCTTCAAACATTAAACTCGTGAGCTGGATCGCGGTGTCTGTATAATTGAATTAAGCTGTGTGTTTTCTTCAAGTGCCAGAGAATTACTCCTATCCAGTGATCAGGCACCAATCGAGAGGACACGCTTTGCGAAAGGCACACACTTCACAGTCTATTTCCTGTTTTGCCGTGATGTTTTAATCTCGGTGCGGGAAGACCAGAAAGCAGGAGGATGGGACAAGGGGCTTGCAAAATATAAAAGCAGTCAGTTCTCTGCCTCAAATTGCCCAGTTCTTGAGGCAGGATAGGGGCATAATCGGTGGGGGCAGCTGCACATTTTGCTGCTGTTTGGCACCCGCCGATGGAACGGGAAGCCCACGTCACCGTTAAAACTCAAGTGTGCATTTAATGATTTCAGGGCCTGAATCAACCGTACGATGTAAATCATGCTCGAGGCGCTTGAAGGCACTTCTCTTTCTTAGCAGAGAAGTCTCAAACGGGAAGAGTACATCACTTCTCCAATCAGCACCCCAGCTAATTTTTAACGCAGAACACATGGCGGCTTGAAGAGGTTACAGAATTACAGAAATGTCATTATAGAATCTCCCTGTGTTAACATGTATCATCTGTCACATAATTGTTTGTTTTACAACCCACACCTATAGCAGGCAAAGTGGGGTCTATTTATATCTGTTCACAATGAGTGCCTTTAATTAGTATTTCATGCAACTGGAACATGTTAAAAAATGTCATATATCTGGCCGGGGCTGCTACATTCCATATGAATTTAGTTAAGATGTTACTTACTAAGGTCTTAAAATTGCAGAAGTACCTGGCTCTGAGAGTGAGCTTCATGTTCGGCGAGAGCTGTATCTGGAAAGGTGGGTGTTTCTTTAAAAGCAAAACAAAAGGGCCTAATGACAAAGGAGCCCGATACAGGCTGACAGACTGCAAAGAGCATCAGTGCAACTGAAGACCATTGACAAGTTATGTGGGAAAACGTGTGTCACTGTAGCTTGGTGGCTCTGTTGAAACTGGGGAAACAGCTCCAGAGACCAGAAGAAGAGAAGAGCTTGGATTTGATATCCCACTTTATCACTACCTGAAGGAGTCTTAAAGTGGCTAACATTCTCCTTTCCCTTCCTCCCCCACAACAAACACTCTGTGAGGTGAGTGAGGCTGAGAGACTTCAGAGAAGTGTGACTAGCCCAAGGTCACCCAGCAGCTGCATGTGGAGGAGCAGGGAATCGAACCCGGTTCACCAGATTACGAGTCCACTGCTCTTAACCACTACACCACACTGGCTCTCACATTTGAAACCACACGAGGAGAAGGCAGGGCCAGCCTCTATGCTATTTTTTCAAGAAAAAGAGGTGCTGGAACTCACCATGAACACCTCCCTCATTCTCTTAGAATAGCAATGGTACCCACTTGAGAGGTGCCAGAACTGAGTTCTGGTGAGTTCTCACGGGGGGGTGGGGGGAGTCCTGGATGGCCTTACCGTGCAGCAGGGTGAAGGAGCCAGGAGGACCAACAGATTAAGCCAGAAACTGGCACCTGAAGGCTGCAGCAAAACCTAATAAAGTTGGGTAGAGAAGCATATTGGTTCTGCTTCAGACAGCAAAACCTCTTGGGCTGGAACTACAAGAAGGGCCACTTCAAAGTGGGACAGGGGTTTGGGAGCAGGGTAAGGAAAGGGTTGGGCCTGCCTCTCTGTGAGTGCCTCTCCTCTCTTCTCCACTTTCGCAGCAACGGGCCATCTGTCTTTGAAACCATTCTACTTTGAGCTGCAAATCCTTTTCCTACTCCCCGGTGTATGGAGACTCTTGCTACTTATTCCAATAAAAGGGAACCTGTGGCCCTCAATATGTTGTTTGAGTCCAGCTCTCATCTCCAGCTGCTCAGAGTCAAAGGTTGTGTGTGTGTGTGTGTGTGTGTGTGTGTGTGTTTGGTGAGGCATTGGAGAACAGAACAAGATGGCTAGATGGCTTTTCCTGCACCCCCTAGCTAGCCTGCTGCCCTCAGTGCAGTCCAATTGGCTTCATTACTTGGAACTGGGGGACGTGGGAGTGCCATCTTGTTTTGTACATCAGGAAGCAAAATAACTTAGGCCAGCGCAGGATTCCCCTTGCAGTTATGAGTGGGGAACTGAGGCTGAAGCCGGCTGTGTTGTGTGGAGGAGGTGCTTTTAATTCTGTAACCTGGCCTTTAAATTTACGATTGGTCGACCTATTTGTGCTCCTCCCTGGGCGCAGTGATGAGTTGCAGAGGTGAGTGAGGCATTCCAGACAAAACTTGCATCATCAGCAACAGCAGCCAACATGAATACTTTTTGCAGAGCCCAACGCTATGAGAGTTGAGTATTGAAATCATGAGTGATAAGGTGAGATACACATCGCTGTAGGCTTGTCACTTGTTCTCCAACTGTTTGCTTGTTGAAGCACATGTGTTCCTCTAATTGTCCTGGTACTTTTTGCCCTATGCATGAAAAAATCGGTGGTTCTTTTAGTGAAGGTGAAGACACAAGATGCTGAGGGAGCAGCTGGAGGGCATAGAGGTGATGGAAATTTGCCAATGGGATCAAGAAGTACGAGAGATGTTTCCTCTTATAAAGTGCGTTGGGAGCCTCTAAGACCTCCAGAACAAAGAAAAGGGAAATTACAAATATATATTGGATTTGGGAGGGATTTGGGCAGCTGAAATGTGTTAGGTGCAGCCTTACAGTGACTTATTAAGAAGGCAGGGCTCAGAAAGCAGTACTTAGCACTTTCCCCAGCTTCTGCGAAACCATTTATAAAGAGTTAACTATAATTAGAATTTTTTTTAATAAAAAAATGGTAAACTTCTTTTTTTTTTTGCTTTTACTTTCTTTTTTAAAAAACAAATGGGCTTCGATCCAAACTGTTTTTACTGGGTAGCTCTGGAATGTTAATGTAGAACATACGCAATATGGTTGTAAACTGAAATAATGGAAAAAAAAATTAAAACCACATCGTACTAATATTTGAAAAGAATAATGATAATTATATTAACCACCAGTTGGGAGCCAGCCTATGCCTCTGGGAAATTGGAACCCACGAGGTGTGATATGATACATTATTGCTCCCTTTTTCGTTACTCGAAGCCAGAGAATGGATATTTCTTTTACAGAAGGACAGAATATCTCTTTAGTCAGTTAATAATTCCATTTTTTAAAATCTAGTTTGATTTTACTTTGAGCATTGAATAATGTGGGATATAGAAACTAATGGTGTAAACAGAGAGACGTGCAGTCCAATGAGGTTTTTTTGGGTTTTTTACTTAATGGTGTCCCTCATGCTGGTGGAAGGCTCTTTGATCCAATGATGGTTTCCATCAGTGCAACAGGGAAGGAGGTAATTTCTGCTGATTCTCCCTCCACTGACAGAAGCCTCCACTGCATCAAAGAGCCTTTAGTCCACAAGAAGGACTAAATCTGCCTTATAATGAATTAGATCATTGTTCCATCTATAGTATTAAATATACAGACTAGCACCAGCTGTCCTAGAAACAGTCTTTTCCAGCCCTACCTAGAAATGCTGGAGATCTAGGATCTTCTGTGGAAGGAAAATATAAGATCTGTGACCCACGTATGGGTACTTAGTAAAAGAACCAGCTGGATGCCTGGGATCCAAACATTTGGCTCTTCAGCAGGAGAGAGCCCCCAGTTACAAAGTTAAACAGCAGTACACCTCTGGCAATGAATATAGCACACACACTGTTGAGTAAGTTTAAAATGCTTTACTTACAAAAAGCCAAAGGTCTGAGTCATGTGTTATTCCATGCAGCAGCAAGAACACACATAGAATACTCTTGGGTACAAAATAAAGAAAGATTGTCTCAAACATGCACAGCCTTCCTTGTTGATTACGTGGTGCAAAGAGGGATGGAGGAAAGAAAAGAGAAGAAGCTTCACTTCCTCCCTCACCAGAAGTGAGCAAGTGTGATTTGAGTCTTGCAAAACAACTCTGTGGACTTAACCACTTCATGCACTAGCACACGTGCATAGTTATGTTTCAATTTTCCGACACCTTCTGCATGCAAAACATGCTCTACCACTGAGCTATGGCCCTTCCTCTTGTTAGTGCATGACTTCCTATGCAAAAGTGTAATTCCTCTCTTCCAGTGGCAATCCCCCTTCACTTCAAGAGCTCAATGCACTGAAAATATAGAAGTGGCCCTTTCATTGCAGTGAATGGAGAAAACATCGTGCAGATGAATTCTGTCTGTGTGTGCATAGGTGATTTCAACATGAGGCAGGATAGCTGAGACCCCTTATTGCTTGTTAGGCTGCTATTTCACCAAGTTTTTGAGAGAGCTCAGGCTTGGTTTGGTCAGAATCAAGTATACACTTTCAGGGTTGACACTAAATATATTACTTCTGGTAAATGAGCCACCGTAGTCCTAGATGGCCATGAAAATTTGTGTCCCAGGCTTTTTAGACTTGTCTAGCCATGTATTATCTGAACCCAAAGGGGTGCATTGGTTGCTAGCAGTGATTTTTTTCCAGCTCTCCTACCTCACTATTCCAATTTCTTGTTTATTAAATATTTGAGTTGATTTGGTCGATCTGGTTACTAGGAAAGGGGCAATTTGCATCCTTCTCCACCCCAGTCCTCAAGTTTGGTTTTGTCACTACCACTAAAACAGGGGTAGTTGTCTTGTGGGGAACAAAATTGGGGGAAGGGGTTGTATAGGGATGTGGAAGAAATTTGTTCAGTTCCCCTTTTGCAGCAAACCAACCGATTCCAATTCTGCTGAACGTGTCTAGATTGGAACCAAAGTCGGATTTTGCATTTACCTGGATTTTGCAATGCCTTTTCAGCGCCCAAAAGTTGCGTGCCAAAGTACGTATTTCATTTTTAAAGTGCATACAAAATGCACATTTCACAGGGAAATAAATAAGTACATTTCACACAAAAGGGGTATGTGCAATTTAAATGTGGGCTTCTCTGTGCATTTAAAAAAAAAAAAATTGAACAAAACAGAATAGAACCGACCTATGACTGAGTGCCCATGAGATGGGACTGGGCTGCTCAATTCATTGCGAGGGTCAGAACAGCCCTCCACCCAGCCTGAGGTTTGGCCATCACTGCTCTACAGCGTCACCAATGAGATTAGAGGAGTTCCTTTATCTAGTTGGCTTCTCCCTGAGTGTAGTTCATGACAAATGCCGAAATCAACACATGACACAAGAGGGAATGGGTTGCTATGCAACGTGAGTAAGCCTCCTTGAATGCAGCCTCCAAAATACATTCCTTCCCACTCCAGAGAGTTAATTTTTTATACATATAACGTGGGATGAAGTAGCAGAGCACGCACACATAATCTCCACTTAACTCTCTGCCCAGAAGCCAACATGTACTCATGGACTTACAAGGCTTCCAGTTTATGAAAAAAACATTTA